CTGGACGGGGCCAATGGGTGATCAAGAATGCCCATGGCCTAGGTTGGTGACCTCCATTGCACAGAGGAGGGGTGCCCGCTTAACATCTCCCCAAATGGGAGAGTGTACGTCATAATTTGTGATAGCGGGGGTACGCGTTCGCGCGGCCCCTACCCAATTCTTCAATAAAAATGTTTGTGCTTTCTTTGTCAAATTACTTTATTCTGTAGTTCTGTGGTGGTGGTGTGTGAATAACTTTGACAAAAAAACTCTTTGTTTTCTCTCATTCTCCCTCTCTTGATTAACATTTGGATTTGGCCTTTCATGGTTTGTGATAAGTGATAATGTGAAGGGCAAAAGAAAGTCGTGATTTGCTATGATCTCTCTTCACTATGGGCTTTGATGGGTGATTAGCCTGTTTAGGCCTGTATTACAGATGACGTATATTTATATAATGCCCATAGAAATCTTAGCAAAAGTATAACAGAATTTAGCTATAGTAATATTGTCCTGGTTCATAATCTGGACGAGAGAGAAACTTTGTGGCCAATTATTAAGTTAGATCTCTCTCTCACTCTACCATTCAGGAACTAAAGATGCTTCATTTTATGGTTTTACAACATTATCACCTAAGGCTCAGTTCGGAATGAGTATAATAAATACAAATGTGTATAACACAAATACATATAAAATAATACAAAATACAAGGTTTTGAGGCTAAGTTTTGAAGAAGAAAAAGTACAAATATAGAGTGCAAATACATATAAAATAATACAAAATACAAAGTTTTGCATTCTAAATATTTGTATTTGTACTCCTTCCAAACTTAGCCTAATGTTCTTCTGCATACCAAACTACAATTGCTTATACTAACTTTAATTATTTTTACTAGTTGGTGGTTTGAACTTGTATAAAATTTATACCTAGTGGATCATTTTGCTTATTGAAAACAAAGGGTAGAAAAGAAAAGGAAAAGAGATTATGCAAGTCTTGACTCTCGTGGTATCATAAATTAAAAAATAATTTGCAGTGCTATTCAGGAGTATAGATTCTGATTTGTTTTTCTTTTTGGTTTCACTTTGTCAAATTGGCTTGCAGTGCAAATATATGAAATAAAAATAAATTTTTAAGCAAGGTAAAGTGAAATATGAAGCAAAAAACCATTGACGGACTTAAAAACCTAGTGACTCGGTTAGTTAAACCTTTGAACCATTCGTCCTAGTTTGTATAAACCTAAGTTAAAAACTTACCTGAGAATTTACTTTGAAACAGCAATGCTGTGTGGATAGGTCAGACATGTCCTTCCACTGATATGATTTTGCTCTCCAGCAATTGATTAGGCTGTAACAAAAAACTTCTCATGAATTTTTGCATTTCTTTGGTCCCAAATGAGTCCAATGAAATATCATAAACAACATGAACAACACAGTTTTTTGTTTTTTGTTTTTACCTTGTTAAGTTGTTTTAATTTTGTTGTTGCCAACTTGCCATATTTGTAAAATCTCATACATCTCCTTCCCTTGTGTCTGCTCAGGGTTGATGCCTATCTGTGCACTGAGCCAAACAACTCTTGCATAAGAGCATGTAAAACACAAGCCGGAAATAGTTTGTCTTCTGCTGATTACACAAAACACAGATCTTTTCTTATAGTCAAGAAAGGGAGCTTGTCCTTTGTTTTTATCACCTCCTCCAGAGCAACTTCCATAGAAAAAGTTGGATTCTAAAGGGGATCTTTGCCTTTCAATTAAACAAATTTCCTATCAACCTTTTGTGTTGATGTGTCCGAAATTGTAGAATAGAGGTGAATGTTGAGTAGGCTGACTTAACAGTACTGTATTTACAATTTGTTATTCTGTTCCATAGAATCGCATCTGATTCAAGTAGTTTACTTGGGATTCTTTGAGTAATTATATGTGTTGTATCTGGGGTAAATAGTTGCACTGTATATTAGACTAACATTCCATACTCCTGATTGTGTCAGAAAGTCACTACTCTTCCTTGTGATAACTTTGTCTATGGTAATAAGAACTTTGGTTGGAGTTTATAATTAATCAATAGAAAAAAGTTGGTTAAATTTAGATCAGGGTAAGCCAGACTTGTATCATGAAACTCAGTCATGTCTCATGTGGGTTAGTTTTTGATCAAAGCCAATAAATTGATCGATCCATTTGCAATATAAACATGCAGGGCCTGGTTTAGTGCAGACCCGTCCTAATATTTAATGCTTGCTTTTATGCATATACAGAAAGCAGATCTGTCCCGTTTCTCTATTTCAGAAATACAAACAATGGTCCACTCTGTGGACCTCCTATTTCATGAAATTGAAGGTTCCAACTTCCAACAAGTTAAGAGACTTCAGACTCAGTGGACTTAATTTCTCATGTTTGCAGTTGAATTATTATGATCACTAATCACTATGGTTCATCCTTGAGCTAGCAAAATATCCAAAAGATCTAAACCGCATGCGTGAACATGGGTTGTTTAAAGCATAACCATGGAAGCTGAATTGGCCGCGCCGAACAGTGAATACTCGGGAGTCGGGACAGATCCCCTGGAAAGATCAGGCCAAGTCTTTTCAACAGGCAAGAGAGAGTGCCGACTGCCTAGCTACCCAGAAAAAAAAAACACAAGAGGAAAGAGGGTGGTCGATCAGGCCTCAGGGCGATTTATTCACAAATTAGTTAAGTGTTGATTGATCAAGCTCAGGCCATATTGTCTCGGCTTTAGTCCCACATTGGCTAGTGGAAAGAGTCGAAGAGGTAGCATGGACTATAAAAAGTGATCGAAGAACCAGAGCAAATCATACCTTTCTCGGCCTTTTGGCTAAGATCAAGTGTAGTATCTGTTCTTATCAGTTTAATATCTGATACGTGGGCCATCGGCTCACATGATATTAAATTAATTTTTTTAGGGGGAGAACCCACCACAGTAGCTTGCTACTGGGGTCCTCGCGCGTCGCCCATGCGTTGCACTACTGCACGGGCCTGGCGCACCCCACCAAATCAATGTAGAAGATTTGTTTCTGTGTCCTGTTCTTTATAGGTTTTTTTTTCCAAGTTGATTGGTATTCCACCGTCAGTACGAATAATAGTGTCAAGTATAAAGACTGTCTAGTGATTCAATTGATTCGATAATTCCTGTGCTTCTTGGCTTATAGTGGGTTAAGCTTCAAGCTTTCGGATACATCATACATGAATCGAAACAGACTGTGTTAAACTCAAGTCGAGCTTGTTCTGAGGTTAGGGGGGAATGGTTTTCTGTTGTCTGTGTTATGTTAGTTCTTAATCTATAAATTTATCTTTACCAARAAACAAAAGCTAGAAAAGAAACTTAGGTAAAAAGCATGACGCAAGGGATTAAATAACCAGCTGAGAGGCTCTAAATAGAACTTTGCCATCTGCAGACTGCAAAAGCGGCCTTTACATGCTTAAACAAATAAACAGTCTAATTGGAGTTAATATAATGTCCCATATCGGCTAAAGAAGTTAACAGCGGAGGAAGCAAAGCATTATAAATAGAGTGGAAGATGGGGAAAGAAACATACTTACCTTGACGGGGTGAATGGGTGATCAAGAAGGCCCATAGCCTAGGTTGGTGACTTCCATTGCACAAAGGAGGGGTTTTCCGCCTATCATATCCCCAAGTGGGAGACTGTACGTCATAATTTGTTGCAGCGGGGGTACGCGTTCGCGCGGCCCCTACTCAGTTTGCTTATTCAAAATCTTCATTTTCTATATTTGATAACCATTCTTTCTTTTTACACTCTAATTTGGCCAGATTGTGGGATTTACTTTTACCAAAAACTTGATAAAAAATTGCCTGGTCTCTCAAGAGGTTTCTCCATCCTGTTACACTAATTCTCAATAGACGACTGAGCATCAGAATAGATGAAAATAGTCTTCACATATTGATGTCCTGTTGTTTTTAAGACATGATCATTGATCACCGTTCTGCTTTTGTCGGCGGCATTGATGTCCTGCTGCATGTATGATGTTACTCAATTCATTGAAGATTATAATTGCTGCTGCTGCTGCATTTCCAGTGTCCGGATCACTTTGGTTCATCCTTGAGCAACCAAATTTAGTGGACTTTCATTTCCTATGTTTCACTTTTATAGATGATATACAGAGCTTCCAGCAGGAATTCTGAGCTGCAGTAGAACCCAGGACACTCTCTGGTTCTTTCATATGTGGTTCTAAGTTCTAACCCTGTTGCTGCTCTTTCTCATGCTTCCCAGGAGGGCCTACAAGGAAATGGAGATTCTCTGGAGACCTTGGGGTCCAACTAATTAATGCTCTGACGTCAGATCTTTGGCACTGTCAGTGACTCAACATTGGTTTCCTTAAAATTCATACTAATGATCCATCCCTTCATACATAATCAGTATGCTGGATATGGTGTTTTTGTAGAGGATAGTAATGGTGTTTTTTTTTGGGAGCCTTAACAATCTCCCCTGTTTTCAGAGGTGGGTCTTGGTTTGCTGCTGGCTGTTATGCTTCAACAAGTGATACGTGCATCCGAACGGATTCTAGTGTTGTGGTGGATCAAGGGATTAGTAAAAATTTCCTCATGCTATCTGGTTTCTTGACTATTGTTTCGATGATACTAGAGCAGAGCTGCTTTAAGTTTAAAATAGAGTCAAGTGGCTCACTTTCTTGCGTTTCGAACTTGTTCTGAAGTTGGGGAAGGCAGGGAACGGTGTTTCTCTCCCCCCCCCCAATTTACGTACCATCTGCTGTCTGTGTTAAACTCTATGTATGTTTCTTCATCATCTTTACCGGAAAAAAAAAAGCTGTAGCAAAAACTAGCTAAGATCATGACTCAAGGGATCAAAAAACCAGCTGCTGAGAAGCTCTAAGCCTCTATCACATCATCGCCATCTGCAGGCTGTAATATACAGCCTTGGTGATTTACATGCTGTCATATACAGACTCTGAGTTGCTACGGAATCAATAATCCCACATCGCTTAAATAAGAAAAAGAGAAGCAAGTAGAGAAATATAAATGGAGTGAAAGAGGAAGGACAAAACATACTTACCTGGGCGGGGTCGATGGGTGTCAAGAAGGCCTATGGCCTAGGTTGACGACCTCCAGTGCACAAGGGAGGGGTGCCCGCCTAACRTCTCCCCAAGTGGGAGAGTGTACGTCATAATTTGTGGCAGCGTGGTACGCGTTCGCGCGGCCCCCACCCAAGTCTCGTTTCCAAGTGTTTTACGTGGGTGCCGGCTTGCGATTAATATATCAATGTTACGCGGCAAATTAAATTCAATGTGTAACAAATAATATGCGTGGGTGGCACGTGTCTTCTGTTAGTTTTGGCGTACTCTGCATCTGCACACCCCAGTCTGCTTGTAGATAAGAGAATCAAACAACGGGTCCGAGTTTTACTCTTAACCAACCCTTTCTTTTCGCGCCCTCTCTTGTCTTCAAATCCATTTATGCCCCAAGGAGCGTTTCTTTCCTCCTCCCTGCTTCCTTCTCTCTATCTGCATTCGCTCTGTTTTGAGCGTGTTGCGAAGAGGGAAGAGCAGAAGCGAGAGTTGGGGTTGGCACATAGGCCTCCATGGGTCTCGATAATGGAGGCCATGTGCCCGCCCAGCCTTCACCGGAGTCTCTCTCTCGCTTGTCTGAGGGGATATCCTTGCTTCTTTCCCGTTGGACTGCACTTCAAATGGCCATCGAGAACGAATGGGGCGGTAAGGATTCTCGCCAGAAATCCGAGCAACTTGCTGCTGACATCTTCTCTTGGTTCTCCCAATCGAGAGGTATAATTCGGATTTCCTGGTTAAAAAATAACCAGCATTTGGAGTCTCAAATCTAGCGACTCTAGATTTATCGCTTTAACAACAATTGCCAATGCTTTTTATTCCACTATCATCTTATTTTCCTTTTTAACTTCAGGCGAGATATCACTGAAGATAAACATATACAGATTAATGTTCTTGTCCTGAAATCTGGAATTGTTATTTGTTCGCCTTTTTACTCGGTTTTCTATTTGTTTTGTTATGTTTGGTGAGCAAGCGCATTAGTGTTTGATTAGAAGGTTATTTTGATTGTAAATAAGAAATTTGCTTCAAGGTTTTGTTCCATTGTGAACTTTGATTTGTATCAACATGCTTCTTCATTCATTTATTCATGTAGTCTCAATTTTGTGTTTTCCAGAACCACATTATATTGATGATTTAGAAAACATGCTTGATGAAAACATGGTGCTTTCTTTCAATACAGACATTGAGGATGGCAGCATTGAGAAGGTATGCTATTCTCTATGTTATTTTTGAGCATAGTTCCTCATTAACTTGGTACTCTTATGATGTCATCCTTCATATATCTTTTAGTTCTGGGATTTATCCTTTGTCATTAGTTAACATAACTTGCTAATTTTGCATTAAGGGGTTGTCGGGGGGTGATTAGTGATTATGTTTTTTTGTGACCTTCTAGGAATTAGGAATGAGGAAGTGTCTCGTCCAGCCTTTTAAGGCGTTTGGCTTGTCCTTGACTTTAAAGTGTGTGCCTGATTTTTGACTTGGTGTCCACTCAAGGTAGAATAAAGTGGCGATTAATAGCTGCTAAAATAGTAGCTAATAGCAGAATGCTGAAAGAATAACTTTAAAATGTATGAATCAACATTTCAGAAACTCAAGACCTACTTATTTTCTGAGTGGTGAAGCATAGGCATTGGGATGATTATTGTACCTCTAAAAATTATATCATATACCAATAGTATCCCTGGATTTCAGCCATTTTTAAATTTGAAATCTTTTCTGCATTCTACTTTCAGGTTTCAGCACCTATCAGCAGTAATCAAATGGTAATAATCCCTAAGAGTTTTTCGTACCTTGTTGGAATAATGGAATTCAATTCTACTTACCCCTAGAAGAAGTTAAGAGTACCTTTTACGCACTATTCTGGGTCATGCTATGGAAGGAGAACTTCCTTTTCTACCAAATAGCATGATTTATGTCTGGGGTCTGGATGCATAGCCAGATATTTTCACATTCTCCAACCGTCAGTACAATGAAGAATGTGTGGCTTTAAGTTTGTATGCATATGGAAGTTGATCTGATTGGCAAAATATTTTTTTGATGGATAATTTTTAAGTAAGATGTCTGTCCAACAACAACAAATTACACAGCCAACCTCGGGGATCTGATACTTATACCATCCCACAAACTAGGAACTTAACCTGTTGAGGAACTCTGTTACTCTTTCTATTTACATGGACAATTAATATATGATCTACTCTTCTATATGAAGCTTTGATAGAGTCCAAAATATGTCAACAATTCCTAGGCACAAAACTGAATAATTCCCATTATCATTGGAAATGACAACACTAACAAAATACATAATAATTCATTTCTTGTTCATTAGCATATGTCCCAAATGTGACCTGATCTTCTTTACAAGGTAATTCTCTAGTTTTACTTTTTTTTTTTCCCTTGTGAACATTAAGCCCAACACTGTCAAAATGAAACAAAATATCCATGTCCAAGGATCATACTGACAAATTATATCAGATAATTGATCGTGAACTAGGAGATTCCAAAAGAGGAAACTAACTAGAAGACAGAGCTTGATCCACCAAGGATGCAAATCAAACTAGAAAGAAAATAATTTAGACAATCGATTTCACAAACTGATTGTGTTAGTGGTGTCGCTGTAGGCAAAGTGATTAGTTCTTGGACACCTCCTCTGAGTTAATTTGAAGATTAACTGCAATATGGTTTTGTAATTAGAAATGACATTGATTCTTATATGCTGCTGAAGGTGGCTGTTTTAGAACTATGCAAGAGCTCTGGAGTCTGAACTAAAGGCAATTTTATTTGCATGGAATTTGCTTGTTCGATGGGTTGGAAGTCTTCAGTGATACAATCTGACTCCATAATAGCCATTCCTGTTGGATAATAAGGAAAGGGGACACACTCAATTCTATTGCTAACTCTCTTGATCACTGATCGAGAAAGGGGAAAAAGATGTCTTGTGGTCCCCTGAGAATTCTTGGTTATAGTAGCCCAATGAGTTCCAAGATTTTATTAGACAACTAGGACGCACAAACACTTATCCTTAATAATCTGAGTATTTCTTTCTTCCCATACATCATGTAGCACTACCATCAAGCTTAACATAAGGTGCACAGTGATGGTCTACTCAATCAAGAAACATATGTATGCTTTTGTTCACACAGATGTTTCACAAGTTGGATATGAAGTTAAGCTTACAATGGTGAAATAATTTAAATTTTCTCCACACATTTATATAAGGTGTTCACTCAAGATGCCATAGTCCTAACCTCTTTATCATAATGTCTCAATAACCATGGACCCTCTGCCTCTAAGCCATCCAATAACCATGTAGCCGCCTGCCACCCTCAGTTTCCATATGCTTAAGCTTTGTAATAGGGCTTTGATTTCTATTTTAAGAGCTCAAGAGTCACTATGGCCTTAGAAGACTAGTAAAATCATGCCTGTTTAATTTCTGAAAACTCCCATTCTGGATGGTCCCAGACTCCCTTAGGAGTGGCAATCAAAGTTAAGCCTTATTACTCCTTGGGGAGAGGAGAAAGATTCTGATTTGCACACTATTTTTAATGTGGATGATATGGCAACTTATAACCATGATATTTTTCTCTTGTTCTCAGATGATAAACAGTTCTTGTATTGATATCAGTCAACAAATGAAGCAGTCTTATCTTGTTGTGAAAGTTTATTTCATTTCTTTTTTCCCATATGGTCCATAATATTTCTACCCTAGCAATCATTGGACATGATTTCCTAATGGAGAGATTTGATCCAATGTACTGGAAAGTGCTGTAAAAGACTAAAAGTAAGGTTGGTCGAATTCACAATCAAAAAATAGGTAGGTTGCTGAATCCTCCACCCTTACACATAGGCAATGGCAGCAAAACACCACATTCTGTAATAGTTTCCCTCTCTAAACAAGCTGGTCGTAGTTAGGCATTTACCAAGTACAGTAGTTCAAACCATGAAAATTACTTTGGATAGTACCTGTGGCTTCTAAATCTACTTCGTTGAGAAGTCTCCTCTTATGGGTTTTTGGAACTTTCTGGAGAATAAATTTGACTGAAAGCACACCACTCAGATCCCAGGACCAGATTCTAGCATCAGTCTCCAAAGGTTCTGCAGAGTTTACATTGGAGCTTTTGTAAAATGCTTGTCAGAGAGAATTTCCTGGTCATTAAGGTTCTACCTTAAGTTTAGGTTGGAAAACAACCCATGTATTCTATTCTCATAAATCTTCGGTGGATGCATCTCTATTTGCAGAAGCATTGAATAAAGTTGGGAATAATTCTATAAATGGCTGATTGTTGCACTAAGCATCCTGCCAGAACTTTACCTGCAGTCAAGGTTCAAAATTTCGATACAATACACCCCGTATCGGGCGTATCATATTGTATCTTTTGGGTCCTGATACACCTGTTTACAGGTGTTTTGGGACCCCACTCTTTTTTAATGAAAAATACATGTATTTAACTCCCCAAAAATTAAATTTTGAAAAAAAAACCATGTTTCCGCGTGTATCAAATTACCGATACGCCTCTGCCGATACACAGAGGCGTGTCGATACTTTGATCCATGCCTGTGATCCACCTCAAGCTTTTTATCCCTTAAACAAAAGATGGATAGGATTTTCTGGTTCCCCTCTCCATGTTCTACATCTATAAAATTGTATACTAGATTTCGGTCAAACTGCAACCACCATTTTCCTAAAATCCTGGACATGAATATGGGTATCGGTGTCCCATGTAATATGCTTATATTATGCATTTATATCTAGTTTTTAAGCCAAACCATTTCCAAGATTCATGTCTTGCCAAGCCAATTAAATTTCTAACATGTCAAGATATTTTTGTAATGTGATTTTTTTGAAACAGCCTTATTAGAAGAATACATGGCCTTCTTTGTATTGTTTTTTTTGGGGGGGTGGGGTAGATAATAGGGGATTCTCTCTTTTACCATAATCATTAAAGTTCATCTGTTACCAATAAAAAAATGAAGGTAACAAATATTTAGGGAGATTCTCTCTTCTTCTTCTTCTTTGCTTCTAGCTAAGAGTCTGTAAGGTTTTTACGTTTGATATTTTGGTGCTTATTCATTTTTTGGATTCTCAATTCAGGTGGCCGAACAGTTAATTGTTATGCATGAAGACTGTCAGCAAGGAAATTATGAGTCAATTGAAAAGCTAAGGAAATCCAACTTTGGAAAAGTAGCTCTTTCTCAAAACAGACAGGTAATTATGGTTAAACATCACCCAGAAAGATTTCATGCTGCATTTATTGGTACGATATGTCTCTTTTCATTCATAGAAACGTCTCATGACTGGCCTCTTTATTTTATATATTTTAATTTAATAACCAATATTACTATCCATTTGGATTTTTTTTGTCTTTTGAAATAACAAAGGAGATAGAACAGTTATTACAATATTACCTTACTATATCGGGGGCTGGTGGTGCAGTTGGCTACCAGATAGGTCTCATGGCTTCTGATTGATTCTGAGTGTTTTGAGTTATAGACTCTCTAACTCCACGTGGAGAATTCTTTTGATGCTGGCATCAAGATAACATGAACATAGACACAGATAGTACACTCATCAACTGTTTGAGCTGTCTTAAGCTTATTAGATAATTTGAAAAATAAAAGTTCACTATTCTGTGTCAACAGAACCACATATGATACGAAAAAATTTTTTTGCTACTTTTGTAGAAATCATGAATCAGATATTATGTGCAGTCGCATCAGTTGGAATTATTCGATTGGTTATTGCACAGGAGACCTAGTGCTTTTTTGCTTGGGGATGAGAATGACTATACCTGGATTTTTTTTGGCTTTATCATTTTCTGGTTGAGAGCTGATGACCTTAAAGGCTGTTGCCTGTTGTCCTTTTCTGTAGTTCATTCAGAGGAGAGTTATGACATGTTTTGTAAATATACATAAATACTATTTCTTTTGATCTTGTACTATCTGGGAAAAGAAGTCTAGTGTTTTTTCTTGGTTTAGAATACAGATTACAATAAGTGTTCTTAGAGATTTCTTTGAGCACTTTTTTAATCAACAATGATCACAGTACTTTATGAATAAAATAGGAGGAATTCCCTCTGATAAGTTCATCAACAGCAGCATTGAATCAAAAATCATAGTCCTGCAAAACTTATAGAGGTAAAATCACATCAAAGCTTGCAAGTCTGCTGCTTCATTTTCCTGAGAGCCTTTGACTCATGGGTATTCCCCCTTCTGTGTCTTGTAAAAGCAACTTCACTATTCTTTATCAGGAACTTGGTTTTAGAAACACTGAAGTATCTCCTCTGGTTACCAAAAATCTGTTGGAACATATATGATTTGAAAAATCATTGTTTTCAGTTTAAAGTGAATTAAGATTGTTAGTTTTAGAAGAGTTAGAGTCGTTAGTTTCATGGAAGACATTTGAAGGGTCTTTAAGTTACAATGTAATGGGTTATGTGTCTTTAGTATGAGTCTTATTAGTAGAAGTTTCTATGACCCCCATGACAGTATAAATAGGCCTGCAGCTTTCTGTTTGATGAAGGAAGTAAGGAGAAAAGATAAGAAGGGAGAAAAGAGAAAGAACTTGTCAAAAAGAAGAGAAGGGGAGCTTTGTGCATACCCAGCATGGCCCATACATCTCCAAATGACTTCAATTTTTTATATAAAAATATGGTTTCTGCCCCATTTCTGTTTTCATCTATTGCATAAATCATTGCATATTTTTACTTT